TATGCATTAAGTGGGAGGCATATGTTTATTTACACTGTGAGGCTCTGCAGAGGTGAATGTTTTGCCAAAAGGAGAAGAAAAACATGGGCATGAAGGTAGTAGCTGCCAGAGACTGCAGTTGATCTTAGCCCAAAGACTGAGAAGTCTTGGAATTTATGGTTAGAAATTGCCCAGCCAATGGCCATTTTTGAGCAGAGTGTCAAAAGTCTACCTTATTTATAAAGGACTTTCATGGCATCACAAAATTCTTTCTCAAAACTAGCTAAGATTTTGTTTCATTTAAAAAATTATTTTTTGTGTGTGCATGTGAATGGAGGGCATACAAGTGCCCTCGGAGGCCAGAAGGTGGCATTGGATTTCCTAGAAGTGGAGTTAAAGGAAGTTGTGAGACTCCTGAAATGGGTTCTCGGAATTGAACTTGGGTCCTCTGCAATAGCAGCAAGTGTTCTTTGTCCCTGAGCCACCTCATCAGCCCTGAAAATTAGTTAGATAAGCTCCCACAAAAAGATTTTCTTTCTGTTACTTACATATTTACTTTTTGCTTAGCACAGCCAAAATTTCTGAAGAAAACTATAAATTCTTCCTCTTCTGAGAAGCCCAAGTCTTTCAGTAATTACCATCTTCCCCCCATAAGCATTTGTTATGACTGTTCACCAAAATCATTTAGGCTTGGACAGCTCCACAAAAAGAGGCAGCATGTTAGAGATCCCATTTATTCAGAAATTGGCAAGGTTACTGCAAACTTCATTCGTTATGGATTCAGTCTAGCTTCATTTGATTTCCTCCTTCAACAAGTAGAGTTAATCAGAAATGGACAGCAAGAAAATAGTGGATAATGGACAAAAGAAAGACTGAAATAAAGGAAGAAAGGAGAAAGAAAATATTCTTGACATGTACCTTAACGATGAGGAAAGTTTGAAACAAATTTATCCTCTGAATGATACTGCCTCTTCACTGAGTGGTCAAATCCAGTATGGAGGGAGGAAGACAGATTTACTGACATTGCATAGTTAACCCAAGGATCACTGGCTTTTCCCTTCTGCATGAGGAAGTGACTCTTCTACAGCCGCTTACTTTCTTCTTATATTGATATAACAGCATACTTAACTACTACACTAACATAGTGTTTTTTAAACACCATATAAAGGCTGGCAGACAGAAAGAAAATAAAATTTAACAAAGTACCTAAAAGGGCCTATATCATATCTTCAGTCACATAATTTAAGGCCACACTGCTCGCAAAGATGTTTTAGAGTAACCCTGTCACACTGTTGACAGTCAGCACAGTGTAACTTAATTAGATTTTCATCTTTGTTGATTTTCTCCAGCAACATTAAGGTCACATAAAATAGGTAACATGGACAATATTTTAGTTGTGTGGCTTTCCTTTCTTTAATATCAAGTTTTTTTTCTGGTTTCTCAGTAGTCTGGGCAGAAACTGAAGAATGAAATTTATCATTTGAGTTTTCTTTAGGAAAAAGCAAGAAATAATATCCAATGTGAGAATAAGCCAACAAAAGTTGCAGAGTTCTGAAAGTAGAGGGGTTAAAGAACACGTGACCATCCCATCCTTTTCTCTGTAGTTTTAGGATAGGCTGTAAGAGTGTAGAACACTAAAATATAAAGTGGTCTTCATTCCACAACATCAGATCTCATAGATGGCTCAGTAGTGAAACTGAAACTTATGACAGATTATTGGAGGAATACAAAGCGTCGACCTTGATTGTAGACTATGCAGTGAACTTAAGAAAGGCAAAAGCAGCATGAACGAAGGATTTAAAACTCCATTTCACATAGCAGTTATGGTAAAAATATCAGATGCTCAAAGACCAAAGATGAAAGGGAAATGTTCAGACGGCTCTGTCAGAAGAGCCTTTTCACAGCACGTGGCACTTTTGATTGGCCTTAAATGGGGAAATGTTTCAGGTCACTTGGAAGTCTTTGGGACTTTTAATATTATTGAGGCCTTCAAAGACAAGTATAGGTAGACTGAGGAATTCAATAGCTTTAAAGATACCATTGGGCAATGCAATAAAGTAGTTAGCCAGATTGTGAAGAGCCCCTGGGGAATGTGTACCAACAACTATGAAAAAAGTAGCTTGGAACCTGGGAACCATTAAAACATTCTGGTAATGGATTTGATAAGTGGCACAGCTTCCAATTCTTTATTTCATTCATTATGGCCTTGATATCTGTGGCTAATTAAAAGTGAGGAAAGTTTCTCTCAATTGTCTCAAAGAATCAGTCCAAGGCCCAGGAAATAGTGAACATGAAAGTGGTCTGATTGCCACAGGTCATTCAAATATTTTCACTCCCATTAAATAACTGTGCCATCATAACTAAAATTAGATAACAGAAAACATTTGTGACTCTAAGGGTGACTGTAGACTTACTGATTGTTTTTATTACTATTGTAAATAACTAGCATAGCATTCTTCTACTTCTTGGACACAGTACATTTAAGACAATTGACTTCATTTTAAATTGATGGCATAAAAGTAATTGTTTTCAAGTGCCTTGTACCCACTGGGTGCTAGTGCTGTCATTCTCAAACTCAAAGAGTCTCTGCACATTCTTACTGGTCTTGGCATAAGTCAGTGCCGGAGATTGCTACCTGGGAGCCAGGCAAGGCAGTGGGCCAGACCAATTTCAATGCAAGGCCAGGTTAGGTTACAGACTGCTTCCTGATTAGGTTGGGCAACCCAACAGTCTACTTATAGAGTGGACTTTCTATTACCAGAGTGCCAGATATGGATATCTTGTTTTTTCTTCCCTCTTGTCTATAAGTAATAAATGACAAATGGATTCAGAGTGCAATCCAGGTAGGGAAAGTACATCTATAATAGTGCTAAGGGGACTGGACACTCTCATTTTTGGATCTGTTCCATAATCTGATCAATTTGTGCCCAAACTAATCTGTATGCTCGTTTATATTTAAATTAGCTTATTTAAACTAACCCAGGTGTGTATGTGTGTATGTACATGTATGTGTGTATGTACATGGTGTCATTAAACTACTTTTTTCTTCATCAAGCCTGAATAGACTGTGGTATATTTTCTGTGGTTGAGTTTCATTGCTCAAAGTCTTTATAGTCAGTTTTTATAAAAAAGTTTTGAAATGAAGCTTATCTTTTGTCTGTAGATATATTCTAATCTCCAAACAGCCAATTTAACAAATCTACAGGCTGCTTGCTACAGATTGCCACTCCCCAGAAGGATGAAGGGTTACTTTCGTTGAGTCAGGCATGATGCTGACAGTATCAGGAAGCTACTGGTCTCAGCATTTCCCATTAGCTTCTCATAATGCCATCGCCAAACCCCCCAGCTTCCTTCAGCCAGACCAAGTTTCCTTCCAGAATGTAAGTTCAAAAGTCTAAGACACCTTCCTGCTCAGCCATGGAGGTGTTCTTACTCCACAAAAAGATGAGGTGGAGGAGTTCACAGAGGTTCCCATAGTTGCAGGGGACAAATAAAAAGTCCCCCTCCAAGACTATATTCTTACAGCTATCATGTGGACAGATTTCCTCTGCCAGTCTACAATGAGGTCAAGGTTTGTGAGAACTATCCAGATGAGATCTGGTTAAATCTCTACAAAAGAAAGCTTTTGTTACAGCCTAGTGTGACAGTCATGCCTGATGTAGTGTGAGACCTTTAGTTACCAGGCGTCTCATCCTTCATCTTCAGGAGGCCTTTCCAGGCTCTAGAGCATCCTCAATTTCCATCAATCAGTGGAAAAATTCTCAGATGCCTCTGGGAAGTCATCCCTCCCTATCCCAAGAAGCTTCTTGGAGGGAGTCAGAGGGGATGCTATCTTCTTGGCAAACTGATTCAAACCTATGCACCAAACTCACAGATAGACCTCTCAATTGCATCAGCTTCCTTTAGCTTCTAAGAACTGTGTCAAATCCCCACCTGGCAGAGAGGCCCCAGCAGAAGGCACAATAAGGAATCCCTGGTATTGATTCAGGCTACAATCACCTTACTCATTCGAAGAACAAAACCTTTCCTGATCTGGGCGGTGGTGGCACATGCCTTTAATCCCAGCACCCGGGAGGCAGAGGCAGGTGGATCTCTGTGAGTTCGAGACCCAGCCTGATCTACCGAGCAAGTCCCAGGACAGGCTCCAAAAACAATACAGAGAAACCCGTCTCGAAAAACCAAAACCAAAACCAAACCAAAACAAAACAAAAAAACCTTTTCCTAATTGAATAGCAAAGGGAATCCTTCCAAAGCAATTTCCTGGGTGATTTTTGAGCATCTTGTTTAGTAAACCAACTAGAAACACACACACTTGCTAAATTGCAAGCATGGGACTTCCAGTAAGCAACTTTTAGTTTGAAGGCCATTCCTACCTCTGGTTTCAAATGGAAATAAAGACACTTTCATCATATTTCCCTGGCTTTCAAATCTGGCAGAATCCCAAAGAATCATTAAGTAACTGGAGGAACCTTACAATGAGCCGTGTGTACAAGTAGAGGGAAAGTTTTTTAAAAAAATTATTTGTATTTAGTTCAGTTCTAGTCTTCATTTTTTAAACACACGGTTTAAGTTATTTATTTATTTATTATTATTTCTGCAGGTACCCCAGAGAGGTCAGAGAGGATGCGGGATCCCCTGGAACCGGAGCTAGAGGTGCTCTGGGGCCACCATGTGGTCTCCGTCCTCTGCAAGATCAGTCAGTGCTATGAACTGCTGGATCACCTCCGCAGGCCCAACAATAGCGTTCCGAGTAATGACAGTTAAAGACCTACGAGGGTTTTCTAAGGCTGCAGTCTTCCTACATGGAAAGAAGGCATCAGCAGGGGTGTGCATTCCCTGTGCAATCTGGTCTCAACAGTCCTGACACAGGAGCGAGTGAAATCCCCAAAGGGTGTCTGGCAGGAGCAGTAGCCTTCTCCTGGGGCGGGACTACAACCGTCTCCTCTGATTTGGCAAGGGGCCACTCCCCTAGCCATCCTCCTCCCTAAGCCTGTTGCTCAGCCCCTTGGAGCCTTCCCTCCCCCAACTCCCAAGTCCAGGGAATTTCCCCAGCATCTCCAAGCTTGACTCTCCTGCCTGGAGGAAGAGACAAGGGCAGATAAAAAGGGGGGTACAGCTGGTTTGAGAACAACGCAGTGCTCTACAGCCACCTCCAGCACCTCTCGAATCGGTACTCCCTGGTCCAGGATCTTGTTCACAATGAGCCCCGTGCCCTGCTGCTCAGCTCGCATCCTTGGCGGTTCCCGCTTGCTGTTCGTGCGGCTGGCGTTTCTGTTGCTGCTCACACTGCCGCAGCATCTAGCTGAAGGTACGAGCACAGTACCTGCAGGGCGCGCGGTGCCTGACACACCCCAGCTGGCTACTGCAGTCACCCCATCCCAGGAGCTGAGAAAGAGCTCTGCTAGAACCCTCCTATAACCATGTCTCTTTCGCAGGGGGTCCTGCCGCTGCAGCAGTGGCAACAGAACTGCGTTGCGTTTGCTTAAGCGTATCTCCGAGAATTAATCCGAAAATGATCGCTAATTTGGAGGTGATTGCTGCAGGTCCACAGTGCCCCAGGGTGGAAGTCATGTGAGTTCTGATTGATACTTCTCTGGGGTGCAGGTGACCTCCGGAGAGGGAAGTCCTCGATCTTCAGTCACTGTGACTTACCTGTGCATTATCTCTTTTTTCCCTTCTCTCTTTGCAGAGCTAAGCTGAAGAACCAGAAGGAGGTCTGTCTGGACCCAGAAGCTCCTTTGATGAAGAAAATCATCCAGAAAATACTGGACAGGTATTTGATATCTTGGTCTTTGGGGTTCTTAGTCTCTGCAGACTGACAAGTTCTTTGTTGTCCCTGTAAGATTTAAGATTCGAGTACTATGTTCTAAACTGGTCTTAGAATAAAGGATTCAAAAGGGAAAGCTGTTCTGGGGTGTTCCCGGGAAATCTTTATTACAAATTCCACATACTTGAGCAATAACCCAGAGCTCATTACTGGTGTCCGTGTGAGTGCCGGGGTTGTGGGGTGTTAGGCTAGAGTGAGGCAGTTTAGTTACTGATATAATTCTTTTCTCAACAGTGCAAATAAGAAAACTAAGAGGAATGCACTTGCATTGGAAACATCTCCCAGTGGTCAATAGAAAAATTTCCAAGGACTCTGGCTGCAATGAAGACAAGAAGGAGTTTATCGCCTGCTTTCCCCAGTAATTTTCTCTGTAAACTCCCTGCTTTGAACAGGAAAGGGAAACCGCTGTCCCTGAAGCTTTCCCCTCAGTTTATGAGTGTATTTAGCAAAGCATATCCGATTCATTTCTACCATCTGTTATACTATTGCATATTGTGGCATTTTAGCATGTAAGTCAAGAATCTTTGGTTGTTAACCTTTCAAAATGTCTTGAAGTGAAAGTGACTATTGCATTTTGTCTCAGAAAATATATGCATGTGTGTGTGTGTATACATATGTATACCTTGTAGTGTTCGTGGGAAAGCTGTGGAATTAACAGATTAATGAAGTTTTGTTAGATGCTGTTGATGGGGATGAAATGGGAGCTATTTTATTGTTGTTTCAACTGGGTGTGTTGAGTTTTTCTTACATCTGTGCCTGGTGTGGTATATAACTTTTATGGTATTAGCAAGCTGGTATGTCATGCAGAAATCTGTGTAGAATACATTTCCTTATTTAGAATTCCTAAACGTGTAAGTTCCAGAAGGATTAATGTATTCTCATCTTATAATTTTAGACATTTGATGTCTTCTTAGTATGGCATAGTGTCATGACTTATCATCAAAGTGATTGTGTGCTATTTATTAACTAGTTTATTAGTATTAATATTTGGATCACTAATTGCACGCTATAGGTAGATGAAGAATATAAGAATCAGGTAAATTTCTTACCTGGTTTTCATAAAAACACTTTTAAGAGATTTCTAGTAAGAGAAATTTTAGCAAATATCTATACTCTTAGAGTTTTGAAGACATACTTAACATGTTTGAGTGTGAATACATCACTTTGCCTCCTCCAAACATATGGTGCATTGCTGAGGTATTTAGATGCCTACAGTGGGTCTTTGTGAGAATTTGAGAGCTTCATTATGAGGAAATTAATGTAGACATCATATCCATTATTTTAAGATTATACTTTTTAAAGTGTATCATTTGTTTATATTACTGTTTTGAAGAAAAAATAAAGTATGTCTGATTTTCACTCAGGTTGTTTGTTATTTCTTGTGATGGTGACTTTCATTGTCCTGAATCCACATTCTCCACACAGCGAGCTTCCAGCTCTCTGGCCTGCACAAAGGCCCCATCTCTCCAATTTCTTGCACTACTTCAACCCTTCTCTAAGCTTATGGCCCTTTTGGCTATTCCTTCAGGGTATCAATAGCTTCTGGGGACCTTAGAAAACAGAAATATGATAAGATTTCTTCATCTCTGCTCTAGTTCAGCTCTCAAGCAGGTCCCAGAGGGCCATGCATTAAAGGCTGAGTCCCAAAGTTTGTGCTCCTGTGAGGCAGGGGAACCTCTAGGAGGTGAAGGTGGAGTCCCTGGTTTGGTGCTGTTGGGAGGCAAGGGAGTCTCTAGGAGGTGGGGCCCAGAAGGGGCATTTAGACCATATTGGATATGCCTTTCAAGGTGATGTGAGGACCCCAACCCTCATCATATTCCTCTTTCTTCCCACCCCCCATGGGTGAAAAGGTCTGTCTCTTTTACCATGCAATCCTGCCAGGTATAATGTACTGCCGGAGACAAAGCATCAAGGCCAATTAGTCATGAACCAGAACCTCAGACCTTCAAAACTGAGCCAAAATAGATTTACCCTTTTAAAACTCACCGCCGAAGCCTGTTCCGGTGACACAGAGATAATTAGCCCACTCCTTATTTCCTAGACATAGAATAAATGGGACTAAGTCCTGGAAAGTCAGGTGGCAATGCATCTCGTCTCATGCTATTCTCAAGCTTTGCGTCTCCCTCGCACTCTGTGAGTTGGGAGTTTAGCTCTCTAGTCAGGCTTATTCTGTTTCATTTGCTAGTGCTCTTCCTGCAAGAGCTTTGCTCCTTTCCCCCCCCCCCACAAAGGCAGACTTACTCATCTTTCACAATTAGGGTCCAGCAATACCTTTTAATGACACTTTTTCTTGCCGTTTTCAGCTCAGTATCTTTTAGATACTAGATGACTGAGTTACAACAAATGTTGCTTTGTTATTGTTGTTTGTTGGTTTCTCCATCCTAATCTACAAAGAACTCTCCTAAGGTAGCCACCATATTCTATCTATCTCTGTATCCCCAATGTATGGCACAGATTGACTAAGTGAGCTAATAACAACCCAAGTGATTGGATACTGCCCTAAAGTTGGCAACATGGTTCATGGTAGGTGTTGACTAACCTGTCTCATTTCTCCTTGTCTACAGAAGTTCCCAGCCCATAACATCTCCCCCAGAACTCACGTGGCAGACTTCTATATTTTCTCTCACTTCCTCACAACAACCTCTCTTACCCATCCCCACCGAATTAGGGATCCTTTTTATTTTCTCATAGAATTATCCAGTTTTCCTTTGTAACATTTTGTGTGTGAAAGTGTCTGGGATCTGTCTATTCCAGTATCACTGCAGTCTTGATGAGGATAGTGTCTATCATTTCATCGCAGTTCCTAAGAGAGAGTTTAAGGCATGGTAGATATTTAAATAGAGGCATGATCTAGGCCAAAGAAGCCTCATTTTCTCTCTAGCAATAAGATGGTAATTTGTATAAATAGACCATTTTATTTTTAGGAACAGCCAAAAGGATTCCAATCTAATTCATACACAAATAACTTTCTGCTACAATCAAACTATTATATATACCAATGTTGGTATGCACTTTCACATATGACTGTGTATTAATATATTACTAGTTATATAAAAGCTTTGTTTTTTTCTTCACCATGTAACCTCTCTCTTTACATATAAAATACCAACGGATACATTTTCTATTGTCATGTCCTGATGTACCTGTGTAAAATTTAGAGAGGAAGAGGCTCAAAGATATGAGAAAGCCCAAAGTAGTTTAAAAAGCATGGTTTGTTGCCAAGATTTTTAATTGTACAGAAAAGTAGAAAATACCTCTAAGTTGAAAAAGTTATTGAACTTGTACAGTAGCTTCTTTAATCTCTTAAACAATACATTTTATTACTTCATAAATTACTGGAAATGTGAAGAAACAACCAGACTGATGTGAATACTTGAACTCTAAATTCCAGTGTTTTGAACAGTCATTCATTACAATGATTTCCAATTGATAAAGTGCCTAGGAGTGATAAATGAAAACACAGCAAACACCCTTGGATGATGAAATACGTTTTGTGAACAAATGAATATTCCATATGTTCATTTGTCCATAAAAGTACACAGTGGTGTCGTTAGAAACACATGCACAAGTGAGTAAAACACTGCACAATGGCCTATCTGCGAAAAGAAAAGTACTCCCAAGGCAGTGAAAACTGTATCCCATTTACAACAAAGTAGATGGTTTGATTCATATACGCCGGAGTCGCTTGAATGAGGTAAAGTAGCTGGTTATTTTTGATTTGTCATCTGCATGGTCTTTTGTTGTTGCTTTATCCAGATGTGAAACTTGTACTTTGCTTCTAGACCCCTGAATCACTGGAATTTGTATTATCCTTGCAATTCTGGGTATCATGGCCATTCTACAACTGGTCGTTCTATAGAGAACAAATGGGCTTCGGTATACTACCAAAGCAAAGCTTATACAGAAGCCTCAGTGGCAGAGGAAGGGACTATGGCCAGCTTGAGTGTGGTAAGCAGGCCTTGTCTTTCTCCCCATTCCCTTTGCCTTGCTAAAGCCATTAGATTACAATCCTAAAGCAAGCCACCAAGGTCTATTCCCTTTTTTGGCCACTTCCTCCTCCTGAGACTGACCACCAATGTCTAGCTACCAAATTATTGAGGTCCAGCAATCAGAAGCCTCTTTTGGTTCACCTAATTAACATGACCAATTAAAACTAAGTACCTCATCCTAACACAGGGTTCCAGTTCTACCCGTATAATAGGCCATTTTCCTATGTGCCGTGTCTGTCTCTATCCAGAGGCAGCCCTTTGTCCTCTGGGACAAATACCTCTTAGCCCTCTCCCTCATTCACTTCCCCTTCTCCCTCTTCCTCAATCTCCTGTCTTTGTTCCTTATCCCTGTCCTCTGTCCCTCTGGGACAAATAAATCTCCTTTGTGCCGAGAACTTGGTCTTGGGGGCCTGAGCCTGTACTTTTTCTTCCAATAGTTGCTTCCACCCTGCCTGGCATTACCAGCTGATCCTTCTAGTAACACATTCAAGGCTGAAAGCACCTGGGAGAAATTAATCTAACATTCATCTTCTAGGGATACACCTCCTTTATCCCTCACAGTAACCTCTAAATCACTCTTATCTACCTGAAACTCTCCACACACTAGAAATTAAATATGTGATTGGTTAAAAGTAAGTTTGTACGCCTGCCTTGTCTCTGGCAGGGTTTTTTTTTTTCAGTTTGTAGCATCCTTTGTTGATTCTACCAGACTTTCCTGCTTGCCTCTGAGTGTGACACATTTAATTCCTAAAGGTATGACAGATTTATGGTAAAATATGACTAGTAGTTTTGTATACCTATCATAGCTTTTAATGCTTGCATGAGGAAAAGAATTTTTATGAGTAAACTCTCACACACTTAATTTGAAAATCCTTCCTGGATGTCACAGGATGAGGAATTTATCACACAGAGGAGCACCTGGGGAATTCTGTTACCTCTGTGATTAAAATAGCAGCATGTATACTGTGCATCTGATTTGGGCTAACTCCTGGTTCATTCTTAGCAGAAATGATTCCAGTGTTCCGAGAGGGGCCATTTATATCTCAAATATGAAGGGAGAAATACTGACACAGGGAGACATACAGGCTAAGTCTAAGATTTTGTTTCAATCAATATTAGGATTGAACACTGCTATGACATCTACCTCACTTGCTCTCTGGGTTGTCTTGGAAGTAGGGCTCTTGTCCTCAGTTCCCTAACTCAAACTCCTATTCACAGCGAGAAAATTGAGATCTGGACATTAGGATTCATATATAGTTTTTAAATTTATGTTGCTATATTTGAATGATTTTAGTACTCAAAGAACTTATTTCTAAATCTATGTTAAGCAATAGTGGAAGGACCACCTCGAATGCCCATTCCTGATAATGAACTTGATGTCTATAACTATCCGGGAGCCTTCATCCTGGGACTGATGGAAGCAGAGGCAAACACACAACTAAGCACTGAACTGAACCCAAGGAACCCAGTGACAGAGAGAGAGGAATGATGAGCAAATTGGCAAAGAATGGGCTGGCAAAACCAGCAGAGACAGCTGATCTGAACAGGGGAGTGCTCTTGGACCCCAGACCGACAGTGGGGAGGCCAGAATGGGACTGATCTGGACCCCCCAAATGTGAGTGTCAGTGAGAAGGCCTGGACAACCTATGGGGCTCTGAGCTGTGGATCAGTGTCTATTCCTGGTATACAATCTGTCTTCATGTGCCTATAGCACAAAGAGAGATGCTCTCTCAGCCTGGACTCTTAGGGGAGTGCCTTGACCCTACCAAGAGTAAAATGATAGACTCTAGACATCCCCTATGTGGAAGGATTTGGCAATAGGGTGGGAGGGAGGGTAGAAGGGGAGTGCGGGAGGAGGGGAGGGAGAGGGAACTGGGATTGACATGTAAAACAAGCTATTTAAAATTAAAATAAAAAAAATTCAGAAAAAAAAGATGTGAGAAAAGCCTATATTCTATATATTTCCTGTCAATTATATTGCAGCATTATCAAATGTATGACCCTATCACCATTTGTCAATCAAACTTCATTGCTTAGCAGACCAGACATTGTACAGGATCCTCGAAGCTTAAGGATGATTATGATTTATTTTTCATGGAAGACACAGCATTTTCCCAGGAATGAATGGCTTTTCTTTTTTAAACCCATGTTACATATCTTCACTCTGTGGATGTGTGTGGAGGTCAGAGGACAACTGGGAGAGTTGGTGTCTCCTGTCAGTTGGGATCTAGGGATCAAATGTGGGTCATCAGACTTTGGGATGAGTACTCTTATCCTCAGAACAATCTCCCAGCACAAGACAATGGCTTTCTTGAGAGGAGGGAGACCTACAGTAGAGAGAGAGGGGAAGGGTAGAGAGAGGATCACAGTAGGGAGAAATCACAGCAGCCAGCACCATCCAATTCCCAAGCAGGGGCAGCATTTTGAATTTTCAGTGGTGTGAGTGGCTGATTAATCCCCCCTCTCTCCAAAGGAAGCCTGGGGAGAGGACAACAGCCAAAGTTCAAGTTAGATAATAACAGAACCTCCAAAGAAGAATTATTTTAAGCCACTAAAATAAGAGTGGATTTGACTTGCAGAAAAAAAAAAAAGAATCAGTGATACCGAATAATAATGGGTTCTCAGGTTCTGAAGGCATCTTAGGTTACAATGTCCTCAAACAATGACTGCAGTGGAAGTGAGTCACGGCCATGCATTTGGTGCTCAGCAAATGCAGTCATTAAAAATATATTTTCTCAGACCTAGAAAGTGTAGCAAGGCTCCAGGATGGCAGCATCTGGAAAGACCCTTCATTCATCCTGTACATGTCCCTCCTCATCTGCACCTCCCTGGCCCCTCCTCATCTGCACCTCCCTGGCCCCTCCTCATCTGCACCTCCCTCCAGGGCCAGAAAGGAGAACCCCTAGCTGAGTGTCAATCTTGTTGACATTTGCACAGTGTCTGTCAACTCGACATCAAGCAGAAAACATTTGCCTCCAGCTCCCATAGAAAACCTTCTGCCCACTGACCATCTCAGCTTTAACAAGTGGAAATTTTTACTGACCTTGGAATTTTCTGGGCCGACGAATGCTTTTACACCTGATTTTCGGGTAACCACTCATTTCTGTACTGCTTAATAGAGCTATCTGAGGGAGAGCACTTCAAAAATGATCCGTGTGGAGCGGAGCTACTATGTGTCCTAATTTTAATGGATAAATGACCTTCCAGTATCCATTTAAAAAAAGTAGCTAGCAGATAAGTTTTATTTTGGGTCATAGAAACTGGCTTGTTTCCTGAGTGATTACTATTTATAAGGTGGCTTAAGATAAAATAACTTACCACACATTGTAGAAAATGGAGATGACAGTGAAAAATTAATGAAAAAGGTTATAAAGTTATTTTAAAGCTAGGAGCCTCCACTATCTAGTCATTTTCTAGTAGTTGTAAAATTATAATTCTATATAAACTAGCTGCTTCTAATTGAATGGCTGTTATAAAATATTCTTTGCACATTTCCACAACAAATCACCATTGTTTTCCATATTTTATTTTTTTACCATTGAAACAGAAAGGGTTTATATAAATCATAGGCATAGAAATTAACAGTAATAATCCTAGTAGTGAATATAGAGTATTATTTAAATTCCCAATGCTTTGGGAAGATATTTTAGGTCTTTCTTCAGATAGAAAAAGTTAAATGAATAAGTCACACAAGAAGTTTATAATGTTAGGCACATAATGGGTATTTAATATTTCTTGAATAAATAGAAGCTACCAGATAGATATTTTATCTCAACTGATTAATAAACTTACAGGACAATCGATTTGTTGGTACTTTCTCCTCAACCTTACTGACAAGATACATTTACCGATTGTCTTAAAACAGATCATCATGGTGTATGCCTGTAATCTTAGCACTTGGGGTGCTGAAGAAGGACCATGAGTTCAACGCTACCCTAGGCTCTATAGCAGCGTTCTCAAACTTCTTAATGATGAGACCTTTTAATGCAGTTTCTCATGATGTGGTGACCCCCAACCATAAAATTATTTCATTGCTACTTTATAACTGTAATTTTGTTGTTGCTGTCATGAATCACAATTAAATATCTGATATTCAGGACATCTGATATGTGACCCATGTGAAAGGGTCATTTGCCATCCCCTGCCCCCAAAAAGCCAAGACCCACAGTTTGAGAACCATTGCTATATAGTGAGTTTGAGGTCAGCTTGGTCCACAGCAAGCAACTGTTCTTACAACTAAGAAAAAAGAATTATAGAAATCTCACCAATTGAAAATGGAAAGAAGTTTAAATATTGTTAAATATAGATTAAAAGTGTACAGTGAAGCCAATAAATTTGGCAGCCATACATAGGGTTGTTTGTGTTGGCTAGAAATGAAGATCATGAAACATTTTAAATCCTTTATATTTCACTCAGAGTTTTGAAAGAGATTAAATTATGTAATTACCCATTTAGAATAATTCGTTCCCTTGTGCAGAAAGATCTTTTTGTGCACATGTATTAAATGTGAGTCTCCATAAATTTATACATATATACATACAAATGCAGACAGAATATAAATGCCAAATTTCTATTTGGCAATGGTAACTACTAATGACTACCATTTTTTGGAGTAACAGTATGAAGAGGAAATAACATATTTAATTTTCATCTATCTTTAGTGTATTAATGCTTCTTTAAAATAAAAGGGACAACAGGTATGTTGACCTTGATATTCACAAACACTCATACAGTAGAAACAAGTAGTTTGTTACATGAAGGAGAATGTTTTCATTTATACTAATTTGAATGAAATTGCAAAAGAAAATTTACTTAAGACAGAAAGAAGCCCATAAATGCATATGCAAAGGAACCCTTTATAGTAAGTGACTCATATTCCCACCCCACATGCCAAACAAATTCTGACACTTATCAATAATCAGTACAGGAACTTTATTTGTCATTTGGTAAGGGAAGGGCAGCTCCTTCTCAAGGAGCTGTGTCTGAAAGTATGAATGGTGTCTATTAAGTCCCCAAACTGCATTGTAGGAAGGGTATGACTCATGACTCCCTCCTCACACAGCCAAAATGCTTACAGCATTTTGGCCTAGGTCTTACCTCTAAGCTGGGTGTTTATACATCTGTAAGAGTCAGATGTAGAGAGTGACAGTAGGAATGTGTTTGAACTGATGCACAGCTTGTAGCTAATTCTGTAGGATTTTTAACCTGTCTGGTCAAAGTGGGTTGGGTATGTATGACTTGACCATCCTTTTATGGTCACATCACCACATTCACTTACTTCCCCTTACCCACCTCTTCAGCAGTATAAAAAGAGGCATGGAGGCATAGAAAGCGACAGTGTTCTAGGCAACAGCTCATTCTCACCTTGAGTCTCCTGGCTCTGGGAACAGTTCTAGCTCAGTCTTCTCCACCATGGGCTTCAGACTCAGACCTACATCCTTCTGCGCCAGGGCCAGACCACTCCATAACCTACAGGTGTGGCCGCTGCTGGTCCTGCTCCTCACTGCACTGGTTCCCACTACAGTTGGAAAATGTAAGAGAAACTTTGGGAAAGATGAAAGTGGAAGGCTGCTTCTTCTCAGCTTGTGTCCAGGCAGCTTGTGGTGTGTATGTGGGAGGCTGTGGGTGTGTATAAAGTGATTGTACTGTGGCTTCTAGGTTTGGAGGGTGTAATGACTAAGAAATCTAAAACATACTTGGGCATTTCATGTGTGCAGACAGTCTACAAGCTTTGTTATTAAAAGTTTACAGGGAAAATTTACTATGTCTGTGTGGAAGAGGGACAAATACCTTCAATTTCCAAGTAAGGGAAGAAGAAAAATAGTTTATCATCACTAATTAATTCTTGTGTTCCAATGAAGCTGATGATGTGGACCCATATCTTGAATTGCGCTGTAGATGTGCTAATACAGTCTCTGGAATCCCACTCAGCAATATTTCCTTTGTGAATGTGTTCAGGCCAGGAGTCCACTGTGCCAACGTGGAAGTGATGTAAGTCCCTAGTTCTTTGTTCTTATTGTCATTAGGGGACCTTTCACCTTGACCTATAGTCTCTTCTCCACCCTCATGGACCTGTTCTCTGTTGCAGAGCCACACTGAAAGGAGGGGAGAAAATCTGCCTGGACCCAAATGCCCCTGCCATCAAGAAAATAGTCCTGAAGATATTGGAAGGTTATTGAGCAACCATCTGTTGACTTACTGTGCAAGAAGGGCGAGGTTTTGATATCTGGATATTCCAGAATCATTTTCCACTTTAAAATGGGGATACATTTTCATTTTGTCTCAAAAATCACATTGTGTTTTGAGGTGTGTTAAAGGGTGGGTAAAGACGATGAAAATGGGCTAACCAAGTTGTAACATGCAATTTATGGTTTATTTCTGCAATTCTCGGCTAAACATTACATTGTGATGTAATTTTCATTTCTTTCTAAATGCACTATGTCAAGTTTTATTTCTGTGTTTTTTGAATTATTTCTTTTAGTTTTGAGTATATAGTTACATCACTTCCCCCTTCCCTTTCCTCCCTCCAAATCCTTCCATAGCCCCTTCCTCGTTCTTATTCATATCCATGACCACCTCTTTTTTCATTGATTGTTGTTATATTCATATATGCATATACATATGTATTGACAAATTTCACAGTGGTCAATGATAATAGGAACTGTCTGGATCCAAGCAGATCATACTTGCTCAGTAGATACTTGTTCATAAGAGTTTTTTCAGTGTCTTAGATCTAGAATGCCTTGTTTCCAAACAACCTCTGCAATGTTTTCTAACATTTGTTTTAACCTTCAAATCAAACTTAATAAAGTCATAGAATATAACTTCTGTAAGCAGTAGTCATTTACTTTATAATGAATATTTTTGACACCAGTAGCACCAAAAGCATGCAATGAAAAGGGGATTAACACTCTCTGTTTTTAAAAACTTCACTATTGTCTGAAACATGTAAATTGGCTAGATGAGTCTTACCTGCTGCTCTCTCTCTCTCATTCTCTTAATTACAATGAAATTGGGACATCATGTATGGTAGGCAAGTGTTCTGCCACTGGGCAATATTCCTAGGCATCTATTTAAAAAATGTTTGGTATTTCACAATATTGTCAGGTAAAGTCACTAATTTGATGATCTGTGCCATTTTTAATGTCATACACTAGCAAGAATTTATTGCTTAAAATGCTAGGCATATTAAGTATTCTGTGTGTATTAATAAAATAATCTTACTAGATCCCTGTAATCTGATTACAAGTCCATCCTCTGGAGTCAGAACAACTCCACCTAGTAGTTGTTTCACGTTGGTCAGGTTGCTGATTTGCTCTGTGACTTAGTTTCTTCATGTCTAAAATGTAAACAATCTCTTGCCCATCTAACAGAGCTGATGTGAGAATGAAAAGAATTGAACTCAAATGCTTTAAATATTGTAGTCACATAATAGCTCATGTATAAATGTTAGGAATTGGCTGTTAGCAGAAGCACTAATGCTCCCCATGTCACAGGGAGGGAGGGAACCTGAAGTTTAAGGTATCACGAGACTTGCCTTGGGTTGGAAATGTAGCTCAGTGGCTCACCCGGAATGTGAGAGGCCCTGGGTTCAATTCCCAACAAGATCAAAAGAAACCTGCTGTAGAATATAAAATGATCAGAGTGCATAATTGACTCCTGTTCTTTAGCCACAGGAGCATGATACTTTCACATATTTGTCCTTCCCTAAGGGGACTCCACTACATATCACATCATGTTATTGGCACACAAGATACTACTTGATACAGAACTCTCCTGGTGTACACCGATCATGGAGAAAGAGAGAATTTCACCTATTCCAACTTGTGCGTGGACTTTGGGGGAACACCTATATGTTAAGCATGTCATTCACTCAAGCTCTACAGGACTGGAGAGCTCCCTTTTCTGCCTCTTCACCAGCAGAGGCTCAGCCCCTGAGGATGTTTCGTCTTTAAAATAAACACTTATTCAGTAATAATTACACAAGGGTCCATAAACACATGATGAAGCAGTACACGGAGACAATTTTCAATTACTTTGCTCCAATAATGAAAAGCAGTGTGGCGTCTTGTGCCTACCCTAGGCAGTCTTCCTCCCACTGGGAGTTGGCAAGACTAGGTTTTAGCATGGCAGCATTTATACCATGCTTAATGTTCTTGAGGTGATGGTGTCTCTTGCTGTTGTGTACCTATACTGGATTATTTTCTTCAAATGTAGAGAAAAGTTGCCTTGCCTCAACTGACATTATTGCCTGAATTCCTTTACTCTGCAAATGCTGAAATCTGGGGCTAAGCAGCCCAGAGTATTTCCTTGATGTCCATATACAAACCCTCTTATCCATTCTTTTTATTGCTGACCTAGCAGAGGCCTTAAGTTTCAGTTCCCTAAACACATAGAAATTATGACATGTTTGGCAGTAGCCATTGTGGTCAATGCTGAATGTTCAGAAACATGTATTTCAGGGAATTATCTTGACGATATCACTATCCAAGAGAGGCAGATAAATGGCCACATAATTATAACTGTATGTAGCATAAGGTGATATAGAGATTTCCAACTGTCCTAGCACAATCTCTTATCAGTCTTTTCTAGATTTGAGATGAAAAGAGAAATATCTAGGCCCAAAGATGTTATCAAAGCAACGAATTCTAATATAACTGGTGATTTTTCTAAAAAGAGCAATGAGGACAGCAGATCTTGCATCCTGCAGTTGATTGGACAGCAGTTAGAAGACTAGGGAATGCTTCCACATAAGGATAAAGTTGAGAAGTCATTGTCCAGACAGTAACTTTAGCCTTTCTAGTGGCAGAAAATAAATTGCAAACCACACATCTTTAACCACGCAGCAGTCAAACTCACTGTCATCCACAGGAGAGTGACAGGCAAGAAAGGCAGGAGACAGTTTGGGGTAATGCAACTGAAAGTTGGAAAGGCAGCAAATTGGTCCTGAAGACATATGTTCTGTAAATTGTACAGTGACAGCAGAAAACTCTTGTCACATACGGCATACCTTTGGCAAAATTCAAGTTCTACTCTTTCTAATTCTGCCATTGTTCATATAAGTTCACATTGGAGATGTGACTCCAGTCACTAGTCAAGATAGCTTACCTCAGCTTTTCTTTTTCTCTGTTTTGTTTTAATCTTGGCTGGCCAGAGCCCAGTTACTGTTCCCCAAGTGTCATTGCTTCCCCAGGGCAGTTCCTCATCCTGTATCCCAGGTTTCCGGGCTGGGCTGGCAGTGGAGATTAAAAGTGACTGGAAGTCCCAGGAACCACTGGTCTGCACTTAGAGTCCCAGGCCCCAGTTGCCCTGTGCTCGTCCTTGGATCTAGTGCCACCCTCTTGATATGAGTGCCACTGCGGTATGTCGAGGCCCCTGCCCCAGGCCTGGGCTGCTGCTTCTGGGCCTGTTGTTTCTTCCAGCCGTGATTGCCTTCACCAGTGGTGAGAGAGGGTGAAGGGATCCTAGGGGCTGGGAGATGGTTCAGGAGCCTCAAGGGTGGGGAGGTGAGCTCTTAGACACCAGTCATACTAATTGGCTTGTCAACTGCACTTCATCGCTCACCTGCCTTCTGAGGGAGAGTTGGTGCTATAGCCGAGGGTGAGGGAAAGGCCTAGAGGTAACACGGGCTGATGGTATGGTCACCCACCATTACCTCTTCTACTCCTCTCTCCCTTCTCCCCCTTTGCCCTCAGCTAGCCCTGAAGAAGGCGATGCAGATCTTCACTGTGTGTGTGTGAAGACCATCTCCTCTGGGATCCATCCTAAGCATATCACCACGCTGGAGGTGATCAAGGCAGGACGCCACTGTGCGGTTCCCCAGCTCATGTGAGTCCTGCCCACATCTTCCAGGCCTGTCCTTTCCTCTCTGCTCATTCCTTTCTATCTCTTCCAACCAAGGCCCTGAAGAGTGCATTCCTTCCCTTTCCCCTGACAGAGCCACTCTGAAGAATGGGAGGAAAATTTGCCTGGACCGGCAAGCACCCTTATATAAGAAAGTGATCAAGAAACTCCTGGAAAGCTAGGTACTAGCTGCCTAAATCTGCTATGTGTTACATGGGATACTGGAGTTTTGTCTACTTTCAATCTAACTGCAGTCTTCTGATATTTATGTTATCCTCTGAGACCTAAATAAATGCATTGAACCAAGCTGTCATAAGGTCAAACCATTTCTTTGTTATGGAGCCAAAAATAGTGTTGACACATCACATGTCAAAAAACAGCTCCAGAACTTTGAACAAAAATATTTTGAAGGAAAGTTTGGGCTAAGAACTGAATTTTCTTGCCATTATGGGTTGGATGACAGCTGATGAACATTTTCGTATTTATTTAATTACATTGCCTCATAATTGCATTTTATTTTTGTGTTGCAATCAGCTTTGTCAATAAATGTTAGTGGGACTAAGTTGCCTTTAAAAATAAGTACATAAATTAAGCTTTGATTCTGTTCCCTTAAAATTTATACTCCATTTTATCATAAAAATAACAAAATAAAATGACAATGAAGCTGGGTGTTGGTGGCGCAAGCCTTTAATCCCAGCACTCAGGTGGCAGAGGCAGGCGGATCTCTGTGAGTTCAAGGCCAGCCTGGTCTACAGAGTGAGTTCCAGGACGGCCTCCAAAACAATACAGAGAAATCCTGTCTCAAAAAACCCCCCAAAAAATGACAATGAAAATATAATGCTAATATGTTGATACTTTCAAGAAATTTTATGAAACTATATTTCCACACACTGGTTCTTGAAGAATGTTTATATTTCTAAAAATAAAGTATTAAAAACAGCTCCTATTCTCATACTATTGCCTGTACATGTTTTTCACCTGGCAAACTTAGAGTTCTACTGTGACCTGTTAACATGCCATCACTGTTGCTCTAAGGATGTAGACTTGTTAGGTAGACTTTCTGCAGTATTCTTGGGTTCCGAAGAACCTTATTTGTAATTCAATTTTCCTTAGCATTCCATAGCATCAGAGATATCATATAGTATGCTAAGCAGCCATGGGGGTCCCAGGAATGTTGCCAGGTGGTGAATTTTACTCATTGTGTCTTTCACATCATGTGCCTCCATTCCACTCATTTCACTGTCCCTTTGTGTCCACCCTCTGCCCTTGCAACCCACCCCATAAAATAAAATAAAAGAGGAAAAAGAAAAGTCAGTCTCATCACGGAAGCTGTAGTGTGACACAGCAAGTCACACAGTAAACCCTCTCACCAATATATATATTTACATGCAAGTGTTCATTGCAAAGAATCATTTGTCTGGTTCAAGACCTCTGGTTTCTGTTACACTATCAATGCTGGATAGTCACAGGTACTCCTCTTGGTTATCCTGCTATTGCCCTGTGACATGGAGATCCTGCAGGCTTGAGTCTGCAGTACGGGCTCCCTCACGTGTCCCAGCAGATCACAGATGGGGTGGAAGTTGGGGTGGGGTTGGCTCTATTGTACTGTCCAGGCGAGGTGCAGGGCCTGCTCGCCTGAATGTGAATGTGCAGTTGGTTGGGGACAGGGACAGCTTCCCTGCTCATATGGCCTGTGCCAGGTTGTTTGATACTTATTATTCAGAAGAGAACTACCACACACAGGAGTACTGGAGATGCTGTGACATTTGTGCATTGGTGGGACAACTCGAAACCCTGGTTCTTGGCCTGGGTAGTTGCAGGGTTAGTCAGTCTGACAGCTCTACTTAGCCCTCACCACCAGGGTGAACTCTCCTGCATTGCCCTGGCTAGGTAACCCCTTGCAGTGATGAGCAATCGGTGAGGTCAGTTCTGCTACATTCACATTCTCAGGGTCAGATTCCCTACCCCTACACTTTCAGGGCCAAACTACTGTGTTGCCCAGGCATGGTGTGCAGGGACTACTCTCCCAAGTGCTGCAGCTGATGAGGGGCAGGGACAACTATCCTACTCTTATGACCTCAGGGACAGCTCTCCCACCAGCCTCAGGCATGGGGGGTTGCATCTGTTCTTCATCATGGTGCCACATGACAAACAAGTATTTGGGACAGTTCTCCCGTGCTCACAACTTCTGGATTGGTTCACCCACACCTCCACTTTAAAGCAGCCTCCTTTACCAGCAAGGGCATTAGGAGAGGACTTTGTCACTTGGAAAATCCCAAGATATGTAGCACAGCTTTTTGAACATTTACAGAGCAATAGAGTTAGATTGCCCCTGAACTCTCCTGTCTCAATCTTTGCAACCCAGATGGCAGTTGGAAGTCATCAGCCAAAAATACCCACAAACTCAGCCTTCGCTGCACAGTCATGGTCCCTATCAGCAAAACAAAACCACACAAGTGTATGTTGCTCTCCGCAGATATTGTTTTTGTAATCTTTACTTTTCTACCTCCCTTCTAAGGCTTCCGTGGTTAAAAAACAACTTCCTTTGTGATTAATGATGCATTGAGAGGTTAGTTGGTCTTAAAGACAGGCATCTGTAGTAGTCTCATGTCCATTATAGATAGTAGAAATTAGACAAGAGAGAGAACATTTTAAACCTCAAATTTCAACATAAAGCCTCATGCAGATAATTCTCTGGCCTGGGGATGGGCACTGGTGGTGTTTTTCACTCTTGGTAACAACTGAAACACTCAAATAACACACAAAACCACAATGGTGTTCTATCATTTTATAAAATACACATGATGCTTAGTGATTGTGAGGCTAAACTGTCTTTCTAGCAAAATTAGAAAAAAAGACAAACTGTTAAAGTCATAAGTGTAGGTCATCTTATGCTTCTGTAACAGAATACTACAGAACCATAATTCATAATAACTGTTTCTCCAAAATTGAGGGATTGCATCTGTTGAGGGTCTTCTTGCTGCCTCATACCATCCTAGAAGGAAGGAGGAGGAGGAGGAGGAATGGGAAAGGGAGAGGGGAAGCAGAGACTGCAGAGGAGAGGGAAGAGGAAGGGCAGGGGAGGGAGAGGGAAATCCTTCTCAAGGAACCCCCCAGCTACAAAGACCCTTTTATGATGACAGCATTGATCCACTTGGGAGGCCCAGGTGCCACAGTATGATCAGCTCTTAAAGGCCTGGCCTCTCAGCACTGTTGCACAGGGTGGGGAGACATGCTCAGACAACACTGAAAGAATCTTCCTCTCTGAGGCAATATGACATGGGGACTATTCTATCAATATACATGTGGTTATCTAGTGTTTGTAGGAAAAGGAATACAATTTGAAGGCTGCACAGTCATCAGGCACAGTTAACACAATCAGCTCCTAGCAGCCTTGTTGGAGAATCAGTATTCTTACCGGGGAATTCTGGAGAAACCTAGGGGCTATTAGGAAATGAGAAATGAGGATGTGTATGTATTCCTTTACCCGCAGAGTAGCTATTAACCTGCATTGTAATCCATTTCTACTTTAAATCAGCCCATGGGCATCTGGTCTCTTCCTTACCCTTATTTTTGATACAGCTGAATGCCTTATGGAGTATCAGTAAGTAAATATTCAACAAATAATAGCTACCAGGAGAGGAAAACTAATGACATGACTCTAAGACAGTTGCGGGTCAAAGACAAAACACTTAGCACACAGAAAGTCAACCAAACATAATGACACTGTTGTTTTCAACCTCTGACTTCGGTATGTTCAGAGAGTGGACCAAGTTACTTATGACATTGACTGCACCCTTTCCCCTGACACTGCCAGTAGTTTGCTTTGTGCTTCAGTTCATGTTACACTTGTTTTCTAAGGCATCTGTTTGCCAAGCATTCCCACATTTGCGCTTTCACATCCTCCAATCCCATGCCAGTACAATCACGTGAACTCAGCAAATGTTCTTTGAAGACAGACATTTCTGACACATCTGCAAAAAAGCAGAGGCAAGCCATGGCTTCCAGAGTAGTTTCCACCACATGTAACTGTACCTTTAATTTCTTAAGTGTCCTTAACTATTCATAAATGTCTATCAAGAACTAATTCAGCTGCAAATCAGCATTGCTCCAGTGCTTTCAAAGCTGTATCAGTTATACACCAAGTTTCAGATACAGCCCGAGGATATGCCTCTCTTGGAGCTCCACCCACTGTTCTTCCCTTTCCTTTTCACTTTACCTTATTAAATATAGATTCATTAAAAACCTGCCTGTGCCTCACACTCCCTACCTAATGCCTAGAAGCAAGTAACAACAAAAGTATTTCTGATCACAAGTTGGATGATAAGGAGCATCCAAAATACTGTAAAAATACACTTAAAAATCAAGGGTTTGTGTGTGTGTGTGTGTGTGTGTGTGTGTGTGGTGATCCATACTTTTAGTTAGACATTCATGCTATGTATGCAACTTTCATTTGAGGTTTGTGTATTCAACTTTCAAGTTCCTAAATTTTATTTATGTAACATCACAGTCACAATAGTGTTGTTTTTATTTCCAAGAGAAGTCTCTTATGTAATATTTTCCAAGAGAAATGTTCTCACTTCTTTTCTGTTGTAACTTTGGCAACCCTCTGTTTCTTCTTTTTCTACTATAAGATCACAACCTCATCTATGCAGTGATCCCCAGTTCCAGGTTAAGATTGTTGCTTATACGGGTTTAGAGGCTGCACAATAGTTTAGCTAGCATTCAATTCTTGCAATTCATGCCTTAAGAAACACATGTTTAAACAAGAGGGTGAATTTGTTTATTGAGTTACGATGTAGCATGCCTGTGTTTAAAATGTTTCAATTTTGATTTACAGAGATTTCATTGATTCAGTGTTACTGACAACATAGTGATCACGTTAACATCACTTCTTTTTGGATGTACCTCATTTACAAAAACAAGTGATTTAGATTAAGTCAAGTCCTGTTTAATCCACAAGTGCTGGCCAGTTCACTGCATGCTTCATTCTTCTGGCAGCCCCAGTGGATGAACCAGACTCTGACTATCCACTGAGAACTCACTTACGTCAGTGTTGAGCTGGGTTTGAAGACCATTACAGCAAATACTTTTTTGTTGCCCTTCAGTTACAAGAAATATATGAAAGATTCAGACAGCATGATTAATGCCAAAAGCAAACTGTTTAATCCTATGAAACACGATGAAGTGTCTCAGCTAAGGTAAAAGATATTTTGGATTTTCATATTTGAGTAAGTATGTACTCATTGAAAAATCCAATTTCCTTTCTTGAAGCTAGCTGGTAGGGCATGCATGTTTCTTAATGT